AAGAATGGATATTGATGCTCTCAAAAGGATTACACATATTTTGACTTTGAACTTTTTATGTCATTGACCAGTATATGTATATTTTTAGAAAACATGGAATTTACTGTATTTTTTTTTTGGTAGAGAATTAAATTGTAATATCCACTGTAAAAGAGCAGATTAAAAATTCAATTGAAATGGAATTACAAGATTGCATCCATTTCTAATGCTAAAAACCTACTGAACTGGAAAAAGTATAATTTAGCACATCACCCACATGCCAAAAAAAAGAAAAAAGAAGAAAAAAGATGCCTTGTTTGGGTTTCATCCAGGAAGACATCTGTTTGCCTTGAACTAATAATAGTACAACCCTAATGATGTGCCAAACAAGTTATTTTAATAGAAATGCTTTGTTTGAGAGGTTAAGTTTGGTTACTCAGCAGAACTGCTGTGTTTATAATGGTATTATGTTTGAATCTTCAACTAGGAAACACATATCCCACTGAAGTCAATCTTGGGAAACTTGGTGGGAGCTGCTACACATTTAAAGTTAAACGAATGGAGTACTCTTGATTGCTAAATGTTCGCTCAAGATTAACCACAGAAATGGGTGGATGCAAGTAGCAAATGTTCAAATAGATATTGGAGATCGTCCAACTGTCAACTGTTTCTCAAAATTTACTCAAAATAAAAATTCTACTTGGTTCATTTTGGTCCCACTATTTCTCATTCCTAATTTATTTCTAAAATGTCAAAACATTTAGATAAAATAAAGAACTAATATTCAAATATTTGAATATTTGGTCTACATGATATTAAACATCTGGATTTTAAAAATCATAGATAGGAAATTTATCAGATTTTATTCAAACTATCTATTGTGTATACTTAACAGGTTAATAAAAACAGCACCATGTGAACTAAACCAAAAGGAATAATGTAGGGAAAGTCATTTATAAGTCTTTTAGGCCTGTTGCCTGCTTTTAGTGATTGCTCTGCTCAGTTCTCATTGTGCCAACACTGTGTTGTTGTTGTTGTTTTTAATCCTCACCGAGGACATGCTTAGAGAAGAAAGGAGAGAGAAAGAAACATCGATGTGAGAGAGATACATCTTATGTGCTTCAATTGGGGATTGAACTCACAACCCAATGAGTAATCTTTCGGTGCACAGGAGAATGCTCAACCAACTGAGCCACTCTGGCTGGGCCCAACACTGTTCTGATGAAAGCATTGGAGCAATGGATAATACTCATTAAGAAATGTGTCTAGAATTTTATCCAGCATGACTTTGGTGGTTAATTCAGGAGCATTATCTATACCAAATATTACACACTAAAGTGTCTCTTTTTTAAAAAAAATATATCTTTATTGACTTCAGAGAGAGGAAGGAAGAGGGAGAGAGAGATAGAAACATCCATGATGAGAGAGTCACTGATCGGCCGCCTCCTGCATGCCCCTGACTGGGGATCGAGCCCGCAGCCCGGGCATGTGCCCTGACCGGGAATCGAACCCTGATTGCCTCGATCCTAGGTCGATGCTCAACTGCTGAGCCGTGCCCTGCCGGGCTAAACTGTCTCTTTTAATAAGATTAAGTTCTGGGGCTTAACTAGTGCAAGAAAATATTAAGTATTTTGAATTTTACTTTCTTGAATTAGCGTATTAATGATATAATTTGAGAAGTATAAAGAGGCTAACACTTTAAAATTAAAATAAAGTTTTCTATGGAAGAAATTTCTATATAAAAATTTTTGTAAGATTAATATTTTATAAAAGTTTTTATACTGAAATGTGACCGCTATTATGATCATCACATCTTTATTTTAATTAGCCATCTTTAATTCTGAATACTGGGCACAGATTGTGCAACCAAATGAGTATTTTCTGGCCACATTTCGCTTACCATGGCAAATAATTTTGGCTAAAACAATGCTAAGATTATCCCAGGTACTTTCTGGTACACCTGGATTTCTGCCCCTCCTTAATTAACCAGTCTCTACTGAAGTGATCTTCCAGGCCTAGGCTACTTTTGGGGTAGGATCTTAAAATTTTTGATTTAATTCTAGATGTCCATGTAGAGTTTTAGAATATGCTAAAAATCTCAGGATAAATAATAATGGAGTTATAATATACACTGTTAAGTGCCTCTACAAGAGAAGTCTTTTTTGTTTGTTTATTCAAGTATAATTTAAATATAACAATAGTAACCCTTTTTAGATACGCAGGTCTATGAATTTTGACAAATTTAGGTAATAGTTTACCACCACAATTAACACAATTTTTTCATTATCTGAAAAATTGCTTTCATGCCCCTTTGTAGTCAATCCCCTTCCCTAACTATAGCCCCTGAAAACCACTGATCTGATTTCTGTCCCTATACTTTTGCCTTCTTAAGGATTTCATGAATTGAGTAATACAGTGTGTAGCCTTCTGAGTCTGGCTTCTTTCACATAACATAATGCTCTTGAGATTCATTCATGTTATTGTATCTATCAGTAGTTTATTCCTTTGTTGTTGTTGTTGTTGAGACTTAACCCCTTTTAATACTAATGGAATCCCAAATTTATTTGTGCAGAGTCATAAAGGGTCTGAGCCATTCATGGCAATCACATTTTCCTTAGCCAAGGAGTCCCTTTCCCATAATCCTTTGCACCCAGGGATGGCCACATATCTCTGTGGAGACAAATAAGACCTAAGGAAAACCTGTTGGAGAACATATAGGAAAGATTTTTCCCTTTCTTATAAAAAGAAAGGAGGAACACAAATTTATCATCCTCTAGTGCCACTGGCTGCTCCCTCCCCCTTCCAGATTCCTCTAAGATGAACAGTATCTGGAGCCATGGCAGGCATTTTGCAAGCATGAAGGAAAGGCCTCCAAGAGAACTGTAGAGAGAAAGTCCCAGAACCTTTGCATTAGCTTGTCAGCAAACCTTGAAATTGCCCACCTGCAGATTACTTATTATGTAAGATAACCGGATGTGTTTGTTATTTAAGACATTTCATTATGTTATTTGAAGTTGATGGCAATTCTTGCTGAGAAAATATCATCCAGGGTAAAAGCCAGTTCAAGTTGCAACTGGAGCTCACAGTTTTAGAATTCTGATGACTTTCTACAATATCATCATGTTGTACATGAAATGGATTGGCGCCTAAATATTTTCCTGAGGAATTCCAACCTATCAGTTCATTTAAATGATTACAATTTTAGGCTTCTATGATTTGTCCTGGGATCCACTTACTAGGCTTGCTTCAATGCTTTCTGAACTAGTATCAGAGCTGTAAAAACTGCAGTTTTTGTTTACTGCTTAGAATATTGCCATTCTCTTCCAGAGTCAAACATAAACTAGGTTTTCAGATTATTCTCTAAAAGGGAAAGAACTAACCAGAATATTTAATGAATCTCAATAGGAATGTATTGCCCATGGTGCCCATTATTGAGGTCTCATAGTGGTTAGTATAGAGTTGATCGACTGATATATTTTATTATTTAGACATACATAATCTTAATATAAAAAATAGAATATATCATTCACTTTGGAGAATTGAAGAAAGAACATAACGTCTTTAGAACAAAATAGAAAATTATTTTTCTACCTAGACTCACATTATTATTTAGGATCTATCAAATATGTGCTGTTATTACTATTAATTACTTAACTCAAAGTTATTGCAAACAAAAATCCTTGTAATTTTTCAGCTACTGAACAGGAAATTCTGTGTTTAAAGAATTGTACTCTCTGCCATTAATGTAGGAATGTGCCCACTGGGAATAGCCTGAGAGGGCAATGGGCCCTGCAGAAATATTGGAATAAAGTAATACAAAAGAATGGAATGTTTTGTTAATAAAACATTTTTATTCTAATAATTTATAAGGAAGATAATTTTAGATTTAAGTCTATTGTATATCAAACTTTTTGCAAAGGCCAAAGTTTTAGACTTAAGGAAGTGCCCATACACAAATGCAACTCAAAAATAAACTCAAAAGATGTTAGAAATGAATTATTCATTTGTATATAAGATATTCCATGAATTTTTTAAAAAAATGTATTTTTATTGATTTCAGAGAGGAGAAGGGAGAGAGAGAAAAAGAGATAGAAACATCAATGATGAGAGAGCAGTCATTGATTGGCTGCCTCCTGCACTCCCCCTCCTAGGGATTGAGCCTGCAACCCAGGCATGTGCCCTGACCTGGAATGGAACCAGGATCTCCGGGATCCTAGGTCGATGCTCAACCACTGAGCCATGCCTGGCCAGGCTCCATGAATTTTTAAAATTAAGTTAGTGCTAATAAGAAAGTAGGCTGGATTTGGGATTGAATAATAAACTCCATATGTCTTTGTCAATATTTAATAAAATAATTCTGCAAATGTTAATAGATACGGAATAATTTTAGGATTTTATTAGCCCTTAAACAATGAGGGACAACCACTTTGCTTTTTTTCAGTACATATGAAACATTCATTCTTGATAGTGTTCAGTTAATGTAATAAGATTACTGGAGAAATGAAGCAAATTTATGTTATTTAGATTATCTAAAGGATCTTTTTGAATTTGCCTTAAGCTTTTATAGAGTTGTAATTCTTGGAACAAAAGAGGTTCTAGAGATCATTTATTTGTTGTTTCAAGTGCCCTGATTTACCTCCTGATACATAATTTTTTTAGTCGAGGAAAAGGGATGAAGTTACAGAGAAAGTACCAGGAAATGCTCATAATCTATTGTCCATCTCAACTGTAGTATGCTCTTTTGATTTCTTTAGCTTTGTAATATATTTTGAAATCAGTAAGTATGAGGTCTCTGGCTTTGTCCTTCTTTCTCAAGATTATTTTGGTTATTTGTGGTTCCATATGACTTTTAGGATTACTTTTTCTATTTCTGTAAAAATGCCATTAGAATTTTGACAGGAATTGCATTGATTCTGTAGATTGCTTTAAGTAGTATGGGCATTTTAACAATATTATGTCTTCCAATCCATGAACATTGGATGTCTTTCTATTTATTTGTGTTTCCTTTCATCTCTTTCTAGAATGATTTGTAGCTTCAAGTATACAAATCTTTTGCCTTTCTGGGTAAGTTTATTCCTAAGTATTTATCTTTTTGATACTATGGTAAATAGGATTGTTTTCTTAATTTCTTTTCAGATTGCTTGCTGTTAGTGTATAGAAACAAATAATTTTTATAAGTAAATTTTGTATCCTGCAGCTTTACTAAATTTGTTTGTTAGGTTTAGCTATTTCCTTGTGTACACGAAAGCAGAGGTTGGTTGGGTTCAAGGAAATTTGAATGTATGACCATCAATATTCTACCTAATGTAACCTCCCAAAAGACTGAATAAATTTAGGAATAAACCTTTTGCAACTTAAATGTAAGTAAAATATGTTTGTATTATATAAACAAGTTTCTAAAAATGTGCATTAGTTCCTTACCCTTTAAGTACTTACTGGACTTTAGACTCAATTTCCAATAATCATAGTGAGTACATTTTTTTTGGCAAAGAGCATTTGCCATAGTGATTTCAAGAGGATAATTTATTGGCTGTTATGCTTTTCTTGTTACTTTCTTCAGTTTATCTTGGTTTGGTTTCATTGTCTGAAAGGACCGAAATTTCCAGAGGTGATTTTCTAGAGCCATGACAAAAAAGATTAGCAATGACAGTTTTCTAAAATATATGTTTCCTACCAAAGGCAGCCTTCTCAGCCCATTTCCTTTAATGATATCTGGGGAGGATCTGATAAGCCTCATTCTTCTTTACACAGGTTAAAGGGCATTGCCTTCCCTTTCACTCCAGCAGCCAACAACAAAGCCAGGCATATGTTATCACCATCACACAGGAAGCTGCGGGTTTGCTTGTGTTAAACAGAGCACAAATACAGGAAAAGTGTCAGGCAGGTTAAAAGCTGGTGGAGCTGTGCTAAGAGAATATTATGCTAATAATATTACAGACAGATCTAGAGATATGTGATTAGATTTCAGCGTAATGTACTTAGAATCCTTAAACATCTTAAAAAACTACAAAAGGCAGCCATTTTATCTTTCTCTCTTTGGAATGATTACCCCATTTTTTAAAAACAGGAAAATAACAGTTAAATTAAAACAGTTATGTTAGGAAATAACACAATTTCTCAAAACATACAAAAATTTTCTTAATAGTTTTAAAACTGTTCCCCTTTGTTTTCTATGATAAAAAATTCCAATTGCATTCTCTTATTTCAAGAGAAAAGAGGATTTCCATTTTGCGGCTAAAGTTTTGTCATAAATAAAAGATATGTGCCTTTTGGAAACGAAAGAAATTTCATTTGGGGATTTTATTTGTGCATTTTAATTGGGGTAAGCATCTGTTTTAAAGAGTTATCTGAGTGATGGTGGATATATTCTAGATATATATATCAATGTAGTTTTATTTGTCATGGTAGATTTGTTTAAAAATTTTATCTGAAGACATAAAGATGGCCAATAGACATATGAAAAAATGCTTAATGTCACAAATCTTCAGAGAGATGCAAATTAAAACCACAATGAGGTATCACTTCACACCTACCAGAATGACTACCATCAATAAATCAACAAACAAGTGCTGGCGAGGATGTGGGGAAAGGGGAGCCCTAGTGCACTGCTGGTGGGAATGCAGACTGGTGCAGCCACTGTGGAAAACAGTGTGGAGTTTCCTCAGAAAATTAAAAATGAAGCTGCCTTTTGACCCAGTGATCCCACTTCTAGGAATATATCCTAAGAAACCTGAAGCACCAATCAGAAAGAATATATGCACCCCTATGTTCATAGCAGCATTATTTACATTAGCTAAGATCTGGAAACAGCCCAAGTGCCCATCAGTAGATGAGTGGATAAAAAAGCTGTGGGACATTTACACCAGGGAATACTATGCAGCTATAAAGAAGAAGGATCTGTTACCCTTAGAGACAGCATGGAGGGACCTGGAGATGATTATGCTAAGTGAAATAAGCCAGTCAGAGGAAGACACATATTCAGAGAAAGACAAATATCACATGATGTCACTTACATGTGGCATCTAATGAACACAATAAACTGCTGAATAAAATAAAACCAGAGACAAGGAATCATGGAACAGACTGACAAATCTCAAAGGGAAGAGGAGAGGGGGGCCAGGAAGAGATTAACCGAAGAATTTATATGCATATACGCATAGCCCATGAACACAGACAACAGTGTGGTGAAGGCCTGGGGTGGGGCAGGGGCTGGGTGGAGGGGGGCAAAGAGGAGAAAGGGAATATCTGTAATACTGTCAAGAAAATAAAATAAATTAAAAATAGATAACTAAAAAATGATCTGAAGAGTTTTGCACAATAATTTATAAATCCTTTCTTTTAAAAAAGATTATAAACAAACTGAATTATGTAAACATCTGAAGAATAGAAGAGAAACAAAAATCATAGTACGTAGTCTTCCATTTTCACATAGTCACTGTGAGCATTCTGACTCATTTGCTCTTCATGTATATTTTTCAGTAGGTTTACAAGATTGTAGTGAAGTGAGTATATGTATACACACACAAATGCATGTATATTTACGATGTTAAATATCACTGTTTAAAAATAGATATTATTATATCATATACATTTTCATGTTTTTGTAGTCTTCATAATCTTTATTTTTAATGAATGTACTTGGTTTCATTGATTGAACAAGTCATAATTTATTCAGTGAACAATTTTACAGGATATATAAAATATCTTTCTTTATTGGATTCTTTCAAATCTTCTGGTTACCTTAGGGCCAGTGCCTCCATATACACTGTATCTTTTAATGGCCATGATCAGGAAGACATATGTCATGTGGCTGGACTATTGGATTTAGTGGACCTATTGTACTGTGCAGATGCCTTCAGTATAAAGTAACTAAATATCAAAATATTAAGGTAACTGTTTCCAGGGGATAGTTCATGGTGTTGAATAGGAAGTGTCAAGGTTTTGTACAAATAAAGGAGCCATTTCCAATTTGGATTCAGAAGGAAGAGGTTGTAGACTGCTGAAGGGGCTTAAAATATCAATCATCCAGGCATCAGAGCAGAATTATGCCGGTCCCTAGCCAAAGTACAGACAGAGAAAATTCATGTTTGAGATAGTAAGCAAATAAGCAATAAGTAAATAATAGTACTGAATAAGTGAATAAGTAAATAACTTAATAAATAAAAATAGTAGGGGAAAAACAGAATCCTAAAGTGCATTTTTGTGTCTTGATGTGTTACAAACCACAGCAGGACCATATGTGATATCTATGTACTTATTTGTGTTGGAAAAACTTTGCCAGTTGTGCATTTTCCCTCTTAGGACTCCAGAACAATTCTAATAGTCATACATTGATTAAGAGTCTTCTCTGACAATTGCTTATGAAGAACCAAACACAAAAGTCCTAGTGCATACCACACTTTATCAGAGAGCACTTGTCATCACTTCCAAGAACATTACTGTAGCCTTCTGACACTAAAGAACATTTTATTATTGCTTTACATTTTCTCTTTTTTTCTTCCAATTTTTGTTTGTTTCTCTCTTCGCTCCCCCAGCTCTTTCTGTTTAAAGGAAAGAACTTTATAACCAGGGATTTTTTTTGTGTGCGTGTGTTTTAAGTTAAATGTATTCAAGCTATTGAATATCTTTTTCCATACAAGTATAACATGGAATAAAGGGTCATTTCTTATCTTTGTAAGAATAATGATGTTTAAAAAAAAATCTTATTTACATCTCTTTCTGTTGGCCTTATCAGGTTTTTACTATTGAAAAATTCCATTTTTCTTATTTATGACCAGGTTTTCAAATAGTGCACTATTTTTCTGAAACTGATTTTAGAAACAGAGAGGAAGAGAAAGTGAGAGAGAAACATCAATTTGTTGTTCCACTTATTTATGCATTCATTGGTTGTTTCTTGCATGTGCCCTGACCAGAGATGGAACGCTCAACCGTGGCATATCAGGACAACACTCTAACCAACTGAGCTACCTGGCCAGGGCCACAAATAGTGTACTACTGAGTAAGTATATTTAAATTTTTTTTTACGAGAATTTTTTCTTGAAAAACCACAATATAAAGAAAAGAGAAGCCTACTACCACATCTTGATTAAAAAACAAACTCTGTCCTATTTTTATTTAGCAAAATCACATGAAAATATCAAAAGAAAGACAGAATATTATTTAGCTAGTTTACTTTTGTGTTGGGCTGATGCTGGAAACAACAACAAAGAGAAGAAAAGTCTCTGCTGCAGTCCAGATGTGACAAGACTGTTGAACTTGGGTCATCTGACCCAGGAGAATCAATTGGCTGCTAGAAGAGTCCGGCTTCTGGCTTTATGGAGTTCAAGGAAAGCCCTTTCAGCATGTCAAAGAGCCAGATCCAGGGTGCCTCAGACAAGCTGGGGAGCACTTTGGCAAAAATCTCCTGAATTGTGCAATCTCTGACTCTGTTTTTTTCCAACTTTTTCCTCTCAAAATCACATGCTTAAATTGGGCCATGCAGCTGTGCGTGGGTGGAGTGCTCATACTCAGAGCTCTGAGGTCTGATGGGTGTGGGTCAATGGTACACTACTTTCCCCCACCCCCCACCCTGAGAAACTTTAGAAATAGTCCCTTGAAGTTAGTTGATAACCTGATCTATTCACCCTAAGTATTAAAATAGGGCTTACCTTTTTTTCTTGTTGGTATTTTCTTGGTAAATGACATTTAAATAACAATTGTCAGATAATTTGAAATATGTTTCACTTGCTTTTAAAATGTAATGACGTTATATCAATAGTTTTAAATCAAAGAAGAATCTTAAACTTAGTTGTTAGTTTAAAGAAGTCTGCATTTCTGCAATATTAATTTTTAAATTTAAAGTTTTACAGATTCTTTATTAGAGGACTGATTATTATAATTGTAAAAACCCCACTCATATTGTATTCTTTGGTTAAGAATACATTTTGAAACCCTCCTAATTATACTTGCCATTGCCTTTCTTTGAATTATGAAGGGCATGTTTCATCATACTTCAAGAAGGACTTGAATCTTAGGACAAAGTTGATCTTGCAAGTTCAAAGAACAATTTGC